AAAATTGATGTGTATAGCCCTCATAGAGTTTTACGACTATATCGCAGCACATCGTCGACCAAAAAACCTGATCAATGATCATACGGAAGCTCCAAGTCAATCACCACCGGCTTATTCCTCTCCGGCACCTGCCTCTTGAGCCCAGTCATCCAAGCCACATTCGCAAAAATAGTCTCTTTCCCCGGCTTAAGCGCCTTCCCACTCTTCTTAGAAAAGTCGTATCTCGGATCCTCCGGCTTCGTAATTACAGTCGCAGTCTTCACCACGTCCTTATCGTGTTCATACTCCACATGCTCCACCCCGTAAGCCACATGAAAGTGCCCGTAAACACAAAGTAACGGACGTGCTTCATAGATCTTTTGCGCCTCTACCACGCATCCTTGCAATGGAGGTATGTTGATTTGATCCAAACGTCCTTGTGGCCCACCGTGCATGACCCAGATTGGGACGTTTTGAGTACGGTTCGGTGCGTTCTCCCATGGAAGCTCAGATTCGGGCGAGGGGTATGGTTTGTAGGTGAAGGAATAGTCGGTTGCTAACCACTGAGGCTGGTGGGGATTTCCGTAGATGGGGATGGTGATAGGGCGTTTAGACCCTTCTTTGTGACCGCCGCGTAAGGTTATGTACCTGACTTCGGTATCGAGGTAGTGGATTCCATTCGACTGTGCTTCGATGGAAGTAAACAGGTTCTTCGCCTTGAAGTGATTCTCGCGGGTGGTTTTGGAGTGGAAAGGATCGAGAGTGAGGTCGTGATTACCTTGAGGAATTGTCAGCACGTTATTTGGCACAACTGGCGAAATATATACCTCCGATCACTACTTTGACCTCGTGTGGTAATGCCGCAATCCAATCGTACTGAGCTTTCAACTCAGTATATGTGCCATCATCCGTCATATCTCCGGCATGAATGAAAATATCTCCATCTGGGATCTGGTCTGGTCTCGGGATATCGTTATGGGTGTCGGAAACAGCTACGATTCGAACCGTTCGAGTGAAATCCGTAGGCGCGGCCATGGCTAGAAATGATGAGCCCGTGCGATAATTGGATGCGAAAGCGATAAAGAAAAGAAGAGATAGGATGACCAGATAGCGCTGGCCTGGCCGACCGATAATCTGCGATAATGAATTCATGGCCGATAGTTGATATTTATGGTACGACGGCGCGGGGTCCGAATATATGTTCATATCAGATTCATGATTGAATGTACCCTTGTTCTCTACGCATCTGAACGCATGCAGCACAAACGAAGCCAAGCGGATAAAGTACATAGGTTACTCCACTTAGATGCAGTTAAAGATCGCAAGAACAAAATTTTTCTTCGGCTGTGCTTGGGGTATCCGTCTTTAAACGAGATCTCAAGAGCCTTTTAGCACGTGAGTTGGCGGGTCAGTGTGTGCGGGGGATCTGCAGGCTGATACTGAAAGATGTGTAAGGCTCATTCCATCTTCTCCACGAGTTTTATACGAAGTCAAGCCCCTTCAGCTCTTCACCGCGCCGGCAAGTAAACCATACGCCTTCTTAGTATCCATCCTGGACGCCATCATCGGAAAAAGCCGCATTCAATTTGTGTGATAGGTTCTGGGATCCAGACTGGGATTGATACGAGGTAAGGCTGCTCTCAATCGGTAAAATCAAAGCAATAGCTACCGTCGCTATGGAGCTCTTGTTGTGTAACATGCCGTAGGGTGTAACGTAACGAGGCTCCGACGTAATATCAATAGAGTTGGAGACACTTAGACGAGTTTTTTTTTGTTTTGAATCAAATTTTATTATGCGACTATTCACTTATTGCTGAGTATGAAATGGCCTCCATCCACCGCCGACCCATTTCCTGTCCACTACCCCTGCGGGCATCATCTGTGGCTCCCCTTCTTCCCCTCTCCGCCGTATATAAATATAACAGGGATGATGGCTTGGCGGCACAAAAATTTTCAAACTCGTTTATGTAAACATTTGAGGCTGAAAACAGAGGATCACTAATCCTCTTGCGGTTAGCGCCATTGCTATTGCCATCAAGATCCCGTCAGCTGTGTTCACTACTCACTCAACATCACTCATGTTTACCCTTTTTGGACGATTACTCATCGAATTTTCATTATAAGTCACTCATAGTTTCCCTTTTCGGACGCTTAGCCATGAATATTCATTATATGTCACTCGTATTGTCGTCTGCGGCAGGTCTTAGTTGGTACAAAATCTTGGGGTCACCACCAAAACTTCAAAGCTCTTCAACTCAACAGCCACTCAACATTTTGATATGGGAGTTGGAGCATTCTACTCAGCTCAAGCCAATCTATCATATGCTTAATAAAAATTTAATAATTTCTTGTTCTATTGATGGCCGAATCACTAGCTTATTTCGCTCCTATGACCCCTGCCACACTACCTCGTCTAAGTGTCGAGGGGAGGTGGCGGCAAAACGAGGCAAAAGATATTGGGGTTCTCCGGCTTATCAATATTCCGCAAGCCGCCCTAATAGCTGCTCTGTTCTGCCATCCAACTTCATCTGATTTGTGATGAGTCATCATCAGGCAGCTGTTTCATTGCGTTCGGAGTGAGGATCATTGGATTCTCACTCGATAGTAGGTACCTGATGAAAGCTGTTGCTGTCATTTACATATCGCTCATTGAAGTGCTTTTCAACGCCGTATTAATGAATCAAGTAAATCTCATCGAGGTATGGCCCATGGGATAAAAGATTAAAATCCAGCGGATACTTTTGGTCGAGAAATTGGATTACATCACTCTAGTAAAGCCCGTGGGTCTTATAACCGTGACTGCGGGCATTGAAACTTCTCAAAAACGCCTTATTCAATAACCGCTGCGGTCAATAAGTGGCCGCACCCTTACGATCACTTGCCTATCATTACTAACAATAATGCTCAGCCAAACCACAGCGATATTTTCAGCCCGTTTTTCGTCCAAAATTCAGCTGAAAAAGTGTTAATAATCTTGTCAAGACGGTACCAGTCATGAACGAGCAATCGAATTGCCAGTCTTCACCCGTGCGTTTTAAGCGAACCGCACAGTTTAATGTGCCCAACATGCCCAATTTGAGTAAAGAATAAAAGTAATGTAATCAAAAACAAGGAGTCAAGACTAGTTAGTGCGGCCTTCGTTGCGGACCACAGCATCTTGGTTGCACCGAGTGATGTGTAAGCGTGCAGCTGTAGATCCTCATTACCAGTTGGGATTTTCGATGACCCAATTAAACAGATAATGATTCTTACAGCTAGAGTCGTCTGTTTCCAAACCCTTTAGTATAAACTTCAGGACTAAAATGGTTAGGTAACTCTAAATCCTGTGGTTTGATCTGATCACTTGAAGATGTTTCAAGATCACCAGTTCAGTAAACATGGTGGTGGAACTATCGTACCCGATTGGGGACAGAAATAGTATGATTAAAACAGAAAAAGTAAACATGGTGAGATTCAAAGAAATTGGCCTTAATGGACATGAATGAGAGAGAAGAATTGGGTCTAGAAATAAGTCGACAGATAGTCATATCCCATGTATTTTGTCCGGGCAGAAGAACGAGCTTCCTCAATAAGTTTTGATGGACAGAACATGCATAAAAACCTCCATTCCAGTCCGCTAAAAGTCCACATCCTTAACCACCACCAACTCTTTACTTTCCAAACCATTTACGCAAAAATACAATTCCACTCCATCCTTACCGCTTTCCCCATCTTCCTCGCCCTCGCCACTGCCCAAAGCGCCCAAGGCTTCAAAAACTCCGACTGCAGCGGTCAGTAAAACCCACCTTTTCTCTCTACCATATCCCCCGGACCCTATCTAACTATCCCTAGGTGATTCCTTCGACTGACAAACCATCAGCAACTGTGTCGGTAACTGCATCAACCTCAACGGCAGAGCTATGTCCGCCAACCTTGTCTGTAAGAGCAGTGATGATCATGAGGTTACTTGCTCACTTGACTCTGCTGCTGGGTGCCAGGGAGGTTATTAGCATGCGGGGATCTGGAAGAATACCAAAAGTGGATATACTTATGTCCCGGGCAGGATTTTAGAGTATGAGATGTTACTTTAGATGCTAGATGCTAGATGCTTGGAGCTTGGTAGCTTTAGTTGTTACTAAAGTAGCGATTGTGATGGAATTGGTTTGGAAGATGAATTGATGGGAAATAAATGGGAGCTCATTCGCAAGATTTTCGCTCGTTTGAGACACTTAATTAAATTTTTTAACCGGCTGTAGAACTATCGAGGTCTCGCAAGTAGTTTTATCTCTCTGTAACTACAGCCCTATCATACAAGTAACATGTAACGAACATGTTTATTGATCTTACATGTTTATAATGTCATCAGATACGTGCTTTTTCAGTAATTTGGAAACTCCAAAGTCATAAACATGTAAGAAACATGTTTAAAATCATGTTAACAGAATTTACAGGTTTATGTGTTCTTCATCGCACACATTGTCGCACTGTCTCCAGCACGAAGACCTCACTATCCAAACTTCCCACGGCATTATCTTGGGAGTCTAAACTAAAACTTCAAGATAAAACCGCGCTAAAAAATAACTTCGAGTTTTAACTTAAAACTCGGATTTAGTGAGAATCCCTGGTGTTTTATATTCCACAACATACTTCCTTCCTGGGGTACGTGCCTGTGCAACCTCAAAACATGGTTTAGCTAAAATTATCGTGCCGTTCAACAACACTAGCCAAATTTTCCAACTTCTCTGGGTTGCGTAACATGTGTAAACCCGGGTGCGAAACCTGGGAAAATCAAAAGATTTAGCTAACGGCCCAGCCCCCTAAGATTTCCATTAAACCAAGAGATAAAACTACTTGCGAGACCTCGATACTGAGGCAAGTTTTATCTGCTTTGCATATGCGAGTGATGAATTCGGAATTCCAGCGAAAACGCGTAACACTCACGTGATATTATTCGGTATGGACTGCAGCAGACTTAAAATTCCCAAAAAAACGCTCGAGTATGCACCCGCCATCAAGAAGCTACAAAAGCGAAACAAAAGCTAAGCCTCACGCGGGGGTCGAACCCGCAACCTTGAGATTAAAAGTCTCACGCTCTAGCCATTGAGCTAGCGAGGCTCAGATGAACGTTTACTTTATTTACACAATATAATTGTGTTATACTGCTTAATGCTGGCCCAGGTTATTTCGTCGCGGGCGGACGCCTGCACCACACCCCAAGAGTATTGGTCCGCAAAGCTCAGCCCTCAACACCCGATACTATGATGTAAGTATTCGATATACCGATGGCCTTGATGCCTATCATGATGTATTTACAAGTTGTATCAGGGAGTGTCACACTGCGAAATGTTTTAGGGTGCGTTTGGTTGCACAAAATTAAGGCGGAATCTAATCTATTCGGCTCGTTTGGCAGTCCAATTCTTGACAAATTGATATTGCAATATTGACCTCAACTTCTCGATTTTGAAAATGCTGGTCAGACCAGGTTTTTCAAGATTAACAATATCACATATTTGGGGACTTGTAAAAGTGAGAAAAATTCCCCCACGCAATGCCGTGAGCCTTGCATAAACTATCACCACCCGTAAACTATCACCACCCGCAAACTACCACTCAAGTTCCTCAATTTGCCATCGCCACCTGTAACCTACCATATTTCTCAATTCACCATCGTGGAAAGATTGGCGTGGAGATGGAGTTGAGTTGTGTTGTAGGTGATGATGTATCATATCACAGAGGACGAGGGAGTTGGGTAGGTACATCACTTTGGGCTCGCGGAGACCAAGATTATTTATACCAGCATTTAGCGTATATTGTGCTTTGTGAGTCTACCAAATGTCCCATAAGATTGGCGCAATATTGGCCAATTTGCAAGATTGGATTCTTACTAGATTAGCCGAGAATCTTGCGGGTTCCCAATCTTGAATCTGTTCTTGCGCGGGACAACCAAACGCTACCTTAATAGTTTCGTGACTATGCACGTCCCTCAAGCGCAAAATCCGACTTGCAGAGTAGGTAATTAAAATGTGTAAATGTCGCATGGAGTATAGTGATACAGCAGCAAAGTGCGGCTGCGGGTAGATGGGGAAGCAAACGTGAAATGTGTCCACAACAAATGAAAACCAATCTCGACATGCATACTGTTCAGCGAGCAAAGAGAGTTGGTGCACACATTGTTAATGCAATATAGTATCTGGTAGCAAACGCAAAGACTGTGCCGGTAATTTAGGTTCGCCAGGTCAGATCTGCGACCACTGATGCACCTCGTACAAGTACAGTCTGACGCGTATAATTGACATCGCCTATGGTTGATACTTTGTACAATACATTTATGACCAGTTCACGGTTTGTACAGAAATATTTGGCTGACGAAATTGGGTTGATGAGGAAGTTTCAGAGGGGAATAATTTGTCAGAGGACGATGATTCTGGAAGCATTTTCAAGTTCGAGGATTTTAGTAGTGAGTACCTTATTGTTTGCACTGTTTTTCTACATTAGAAACAGTATTTTCTATTTTAGCAAATTCTTTACACTTCGTACATCCACAGTTGACCGGTTTTCATTTGCACCGGTATCCATGTGTACGAGTGCTGCTGTCGCTGACGAAACGGCGTATTCAGCTGACACACGAACCTCAATTACCGGCACAGTAGTCTAGGGCTAGCCTCGATACCAGGCTCTTCGGTTCATGGGACGCTCACTCAACCCACGTCATGCATGACTTACTTCAGCGTCGGTTCTGAGTGCCAGCGAAGAACCTTGCTCATGACGCGCCACCACCTCGAAGAAGAGCCTGGTATCGAGGCTAGTCTAGGGAGGCTCTGCTTGGCGTTGCAGAGCCGCCCTAGAGTAGACTATGAATACTGCCTCTGGAGAAGGATGGACACCTGGAATCCAACTCTAAAACCTACAGCGCCCGTTGAAACCGCATGCAAAGTACGACACGACTGGAAAATGGTCGGCCTCCTCAAGTTACCGACGGAGCTTTTACTCGACCTTGCCGAACTTATCGACTGCCAGATATTGGCCGCGCTCTGTGCTGTTCATCCCAGCTACAAAAATGTCTTTGAGCCCTTTCTTTATAAGCAATGATTGGCGATTTGTTCGGAGAATTTGATACGCTCCGAATTAGACAAAAATCCTGCTGTTTGGGCAATGAAGAAGAATCTACCATCTGTCCTGGCTCAATTTATTTCCTATGGCCTCGATCCAGAAACCCCTGTTAATACTGTCGACAAATTTAGTATGACGCACGAAATTGTCAATTGCTTTCATCTATCGGTCATCATGGTGGCGGATTGCAGCAGTCCGGAATCCGATGTGGATACAACAATCCCAAGATTTCTCCTGGAATACGGGATGAATGTGAATGAATACAGTAGGCAAAGTATTGCTACAGACCATGAGACCGCACTGCATAAGGCTATTGAAGGGCAAGGATGGGGCAGTTATTGCAATCGGCGTTTACCTTTAGTGTCTCTATTGTTGGAATGGGGTGCTCGAGTCAATGCAAAAGATTATGAGGAACAGACACAACTTCATCTTGCCACCAGAGCGGGGGATTCGACGTTAATTCGATTGTTGTTGGACCACAAGGCAGATGTCAATGCAATGACAAACACAGGAATGGCGCCGCGCCATCTGGCCATGCAGCGCGACCATAACGATAATAATTTTTGTCCAATGGTGATCACGACACTATTAGACCACGGAGCAGACTTAAACGCCGAAGGCTTCAACGCCCCCGATACAGCCTTGGCATGGGAGAATACTGAAATTGTAAAAATACTGTTGGATGATGGTGCTACAGTTAGTGTCACGAGTAATGGGACAGGATGCGCCACTATCCTTGGTGCTGCTCTAGAGCAAATTGGTTTATGGTACCACTACAATTCAAGTGTCATTTCGGATGACAATGTGGTACCTTGGGATTTATCGTTGATCAAAATGCTACTAGACCGTGGTGCTGATTCGTCAATGATAAATATTCCTTGGGGCAATCATGGACGCACTCCGCTCCATACTCTTCTATACCGCTGTAACCAGTATTGGCCAAACTTATGGGCGATCTAATTAATCTTGGACCATGGCGGATACAACAGAATCAAGTGTCATGATGGATTTACCCTGTTGGAAATGGCGGCTAGATTGGGATTCCAGAAGTTCGTAGAGCTCTGACGGGTATGTGATGAGAAACTCCTGCCGGAGGATGAAATTTAGGTGTGGTGTCCCGTGCACTTTGTACCGGTCCCGCAAACACAAGAAAGAGTAGAAGGAATCTTTTTGTTTTTCAAGTTTGGAATTTGAGTTATTTGGTATCTTTGCAATTGAGTTATTTGGTTTTGTAGATGCGTGTTATTTCTTGTAAGTGCTAAGGGGCGCTATCACCCTTCTTTAATTTTTGAGCTTTATAGGTTGTCGAGGGCAAGAGCCGTAGTACAACAATAAACTCGTACCTAAACACCCCCAAAATTACCACCGCCGAAAATAACGCGGAAAATGATGCCTATTGTAAACACCACCGAAGACAGTTTCAGCCCAATACAGCCAAAACGCCAAAGCAAGTGCTGCCAATAACGAATAAAGCCCGGCAAAATATCAACCAAAGCAGAAACACCCACTCAGAAAAAAACCAAGTAGTAAATCCTCCGAAAATCTCACCAATCATACCCATAACTAATCTTTCTATCTTTAGTCGCGGCTCTCCTCCTCATCATCCTCCGTACATCTCTTGAGCCCTCTGCGATAAGTCTTAACGATTTCTCCCTCTTCAACCTCGTCCTCTGCAGCATCGATGGACATATCCATTCCAAATATAGTCGAAATGCCGACATTTCTTTCTCCAAGCTCGTTTGTGGCAACCGCCGGCTGTGCTGCAACTGGTTCATCAGCGAGATCCCAAATGGAGAAGCAGCGGCCGGAGAAAATGAGTCGGGGTGCTTCACCCAGAAACCGCAGAGATCCTCTGGGCAGCTGGATAGTGTGCGCTGACTGGGCGAGGCAGGGAATGTTGGGGGTGTTGATAGCAGTCCAAGTGGCAGTCTGCGCTGGAGAAGGAGTAGCCCTAGTAGGTGCGGTGGTGGGGTAAGGTCTAGAGGCTGGTATAATAAGGCCTGGAGTGGCTGAAACTTTTGGATGGTTTTTGGACTCAAGAGGACTGCCTTGTCTATGGGGGCTGGGGGTTGAAGTTCTCAGGGCGTCGGCCGCGGTGGCGGGCGTAAAATTTGCTACTGCGACTGGATATGTGGCTGAAGCCTGGTTTCTAAAGCCGGCGAAGACAATGAAAGGGCCCTGGGCTTGACCGCTTACAGCAGCTTGGGGATTACTAGCACTGATACCTAGGGAGGTGATTGTCTATGGTACGTTAGTTTACCGGATTCTCACAGGATGAGTCACATGGTATCACTCACTATACTGCCATCCGGCACAACTGGGGCAACAGTGCTCTGAACATCCTGAGCTGGAAAGGTCTGAGACAAATAAACCTGACCTGTCGTAGCCTTATCTAGAGTCTGGGCTCCCTGGGTAACGAATTTGGAGGTCCTTTGTGTTGACCGAGAGGAGAGAAGTTGATTTGCACGATAAAGATCTATTCAAGAAATTTACAGGAGTTTATATAGACAAGAAAGAGAGAAATAGACACGTTTACAAAAGAAAGAAGACAATACCATAATTTCACTTATTCCTCCGATTATCCCAAATCGGGCAGATAATCATCCCGGCACGATTACTCCGTAATCCATCCCGATTCTCATTGTGGCAACTCAGACCCTTACGTAGCGTTAAAAGCGAGAGCGCAGTATAAACAACGGCAACGTAAGCAAGAGCGTCGGAGAGTTAACAACGATGATGCCGAATGATTTCGTCACTGGGCAGCCTCCATAGCACAACTCGTTGCAATTCCCTCACTAGCTTTCGCAGCCTTTACAGCCGCCCGTTTCCACTGCCGCTTCTTCTCGTTCTTGAACTTCCCCACCTGCCTCTGCAGATGGTCCGTAACGAACTCCCTACTGGTGGTAGGAATGTTCTCAAGAAGTAGAAGCCGATCAATCGCGGCTTCTTGCTGGAAGTGGGAGAGGTCTGTCCAGGAGAGAAGGCCATCAAGGGGGAGATGGCAT